TTTCAACCCATGCCAACCTTGATTCCGTGCCCCCACGCCTTCCCCATCCCCCTGAAGGGCCTTTACAAAGGCTGTTCCCTCAGCTTGAAATGCTCTTCCTTTTCTTGTGTCTCCCAGTTAACCCCACCTTATTTTTGTATCTCAGTGGGAGCACTCTCTCCTCGGAGAAGCCTGCTCCTCCTTTCCTGACTTGGCCAATCCCCGAGGCCAGAGCCTCACAGCCCTTCCCTACTCCTCAACCACACAGGTCAAGGTTGCGGTTTTCCATTTGTTTGTAAGATGATATGATTAATGACCATGAGCTCTTTGAGATCTGCTTTTCTTCACCGTTGCTTCTCCACTATGTAGCTGGGTGCCTGGCACCTAGTAGGTGTTCAATTAAAAATGTGCTGCCTGCTGCCCAGGGATAGCCAGCAGACACCAACACAATTAGGAGAGACTGAGACTGAAAGGCCTGATTCCCTCAGAGGTGGGACCTGAGGCAGTGTGGAGAGGGGGTGTCTCCTGGAGAAGAAGGGAGAAGAGGGTAGAGGCTCTTCCCAAAATACCCGAGGCCATGCCAGGGTCCTTCTGCCCACCCTCAGGTCCTAATACAGGAGCCAGGTCTCGACTGGGATGACTGGAGAGGCTCCTGGGTCCAACCACTCCCATCCGGGGCCACTGGAGCTGAGCTAAGTGGAAACAAATGTTCCCTCGCTTTTCTGGGCCCAGTCCTGGTGGCGAGCAGCCCCTCCCTCTCAGCCCCTGTTCCCCTTCCCCTCCTCAGACTTCCTCCCCAGTCCCCTCCAGTTCTTTCTCCCTGAGTGATGGGGTGATTGGAAGGTTGGGGCATAGGTAGGGGTGAGAGATATGGAAGATGTGGGGCAGGTGGGCTCTGGGGGAACTGGAGCCTGGGGTCACCTTGGACAAAGGCCCAGAGGGGGCCTCAGAGGAAACTAGGTCTGCAAGGCAGGGATTCAAAGGGCTAAAGCTGGGAATCAGGCATCCAAGCTCCCACGCTTGGCTGGAAAGTCGCACCTGACTTCAGGTGCGCTGGGAAAGCTGGGGTAGGGCGATACGGGGTACAGAAGGGAAAAGAAAGTGACCTTTTTTCTTTCCCCTTCTGTCCATCTCTCTAGAGGGCCAGCCTTTCCCGTCTATGTTCTCCTGGGACCTAGACACCCAGGGCCTTTTCCTAAAGGAATTCTCAATTCTCAAGCCCTGTCGCCACCCTAAAGGAATGGCAGTTAGGTCTGTTTGCTGGGGAAGAGGGAAGGCAATGCAGAGGAAAGGAGAGAGGGAGGTTAGTGGGAGGGGAAGGGTCACAGGCCCAAATTCCTGGGCTCCTGCAGCTTCAGTCATTCTGAGAAACAAAGAAGCAGAGAAAGTGATTTAGAGACAGACACAAATAGAAACCAAATTCTGGAGATGAGAGAGACGTGAAAAGACACACGGAAAGATGGGGAGAGAGGATCTAACAGACAGAGGGCTCTGCTTTCCCCCTGCAGCGACTCTGATGTTATCTATTCCCAGCTGCCTCTCTCCCCCTCCCCAGTCCCCACCTCTGCCCCTCCTCCCTCTTCCACTCCACAGCCAGACATCCTTGCGTTCCTTCCACATCTCTCTTTTGCATCAGGGCCTAGATGTGGAGTAAAAAGTTCTCAAGACTAAAGGCAGAGCGACGGAGGAAGAGATGGAGGGGGCCCAGTGCCCAGAGGACAGAGGGGGATCAGAGAGGCGCCCCCCCACCCATGCTGCCCCCTTCTGGCTGCTGTGTTCCCATTCCAGTCTCCTGTGAACATTCCTCCACATGCATGTCTGTGCAGAGGTGGTGTAGGAGGCGGGGGAGGGAGACGGGGTTGCATGTGCATTTCACCTCCAGAGAGGCAGGTATGTGTTTCAGTCTGCATCAGCCCATCTGTGTGTCCATCTGTACCTGTAACTGAAAGTTACCCAACACTATCGAAGTGAGGCAAGGGTGTTCTGTGGTTTCTGTGGGGTTATCTGGATGCCTGACCCCAGCTGTGATATTTGTGAGTGTGCAAGTGTGTGCACGCATCTTGATCTGTCTTTGTGTATCTCTGTCTCTATCCCCCAGCCCTGCTCCATGAAGAGTTTACTAAGGTAATAGGTAATAGTTCCTGAAGTCTCAGGAACATCTAAACTCATCTCTCTAAAGGTTCAGATGGCATAAGGGCAGAAGTCATTGCTCTGGTTCTGACCACACGCCAGCCAACCCCTAGATGGGGGTGCAGAGAAAGCAAGAGAGTGAGCAGAAGCACAGTTGACCTGGAAACCCAGGCTTGCCTGTCACAGACTCCAGCAAACCCCTCCTCTGCCCCAGTGCTTTTGCAGTCACTACTGGGCCAATAGATTCTGCAATGGGACTCTGGGATGGAGGCGGGGGAGGGGTGAGGGCTTAGGGAATCCAGGGATGGCCAAATATTCTGTACGATCTGGCCAGAGAGAGTGCTGCAGGAGGGGTGGGGCGATCTGTGTGTGTTTGTAGGAAAGGTGGGGGGTGGGGGCAGAAAGGCCGCCTGCGGGGGAGAAGGCTTCTTGGCAAACGCCCCAGTTTCCTGCGCTGATCCCTGCTCCCTGCCACTGCTCCCAATTCTGTTGTTTCAATAACATCATTTTTATCCGCCCCACAGAGAGACTGTGTCTTAGGAGAGGGAGGCAAGGGGCAAGGCTCGGACATGAGGGGGTGGTAATAGAGGCTGGGGTCTGGAGACAGCAGGGACTAAATTTGGGGCGCTCCCTCCTTAGGCAGAGGCAGGGCGGTCCCAGAGCCCTGGTCCCCTGATGACAAAGACAAATACATTAAAATTCTTGCCTCGGAGAAGAATGCAGGATAGGGAGAGCATTTCATAATCTGCAATAACAGTAGCAGGGTGGGGGCAGGGGTGGGTAGGGGACTTAGAACCCAGGCAGTGATTCCCAGGGGTCTGGTCACTGGCCACCTGCAGCCTTTAGGAACCCCCAAAGCTCTCCAGATGCCTATTTAGCACCATCTGGCCTGAGTGTGTGCCCAATCTGGGTCTGTCTTTGAGTGTGTAGTGTCCACAGTTGGCATTGCCCTGGAAAACAGCAACTGTGTACAAACTTAATAGGTGCAGGGGCCATGGGTGGCAGCTGCATGCTATTAAAGGCTAAAATGGGAGGGGGCAACATTTGGGCCTCTTGCCCCTCACTATCTCTCCCTCAGCCACTAGGGGCCCCACCTCTTCTCTAGAGTGCCCCAACCCCCCACCCCCACCCCACCAAAATTCACTGTAGCCAGCATGGGGAATCAGACTGACCCAGCTTGGACACGGCAGCCATGGAGGCAGGTTCACAGCAAACCTAAGGAAGCAAAACTTCCTTATGCGCCTAGGGCAATGTTTCTCCATTTCGGTTCTCCAGGTTCTCCACTTCCTCCTCGGCCTTCCCCAGATCCGCCTCCTCCCCTGGGTTAGGCATCTATGGTCTTCTGCCGCATCCCCTTAGTCCCTCACCTTCATCTCTATCCACTTATCCCCACTCTCTTGGGGGCTCAATCTTGCCTTCTCCCTGCTCGCCAAAGATGTTTATCTCTTTAGCCAGTGGCTTCCCTCCCTCCAGGAGCTCAGGTGCTATCTCCATCTCTAAAGACCAGGAGCTCTCCGCAGAGTATCTGAAGTTCCTATCACTGGGGAGATCCCCCACCCTTAACGGGTGATGCCACTCTAGATGGTGGTGATAGGGAGACTGGCCCTTGCTGTGGAATGTCCTGCACCACCTGTCCTTCGGCACTCCTGGGGCACGCGGGGGGGCGCGGGGGGGAGGAGCAGGGACGGCGGCCACAGCCAGTCCGCTAGGCGTGATGAATGGAGCTGTCCCTCCTCCCCACGGGGCCTTTGATCTACCCCCCAACCCCCACCTGGGGGGTGGCAGGGGCATCAAAGACATTTTTGTGGCATTAGAGAATCAGATAAACGCCATCTCACCTGCAGCTGGCTCTTCCACCCCTTCTGGCCCGGGCCAAGCTGGGGAAGCCACGAGAGGGAGGCACCCGCGGCCACGCGAGGCCCGGCTGCCCCGAGGTCTGCCCCCCTAATCTCTCGCAAGACTGCAACCTCAGCTCTATCGCTCGCTTACACGTGCGAGCGCTTGAGCGCAGGCCATCAAGAGGTTCCTCTTGCTGTCTAATCTCCCCTTCGCAGCCCTCCCCCCACCTCCCGGCCCCCGAACGCGGGCTTGAAGAGGCCGGGTGACTGGGGGAGCGAGAGTGGAGGCCTGGGGCTTCCTCCTTTCCTCGAGGAAAGGCTGAGAAAGGGGCGTGCGGCGCGGAGGCGGGGCCGGTAAGGGGCGACCCCTCTAGAATCCGTCCGTCAGACGGTAGAGTTCGACATCCCTTCCCGGAGCACCCAGCGCCCCAGGCTGACTTCCTCTCCCGGCCCCCTCTCCAGCATCTCCCTCCGAACCGCCGCCCCCCCCCAACTCCCTCATTCCTGAGAAGTTTTCTCTCTTTACAGTCAACAAACCTGTCAAACGTCTCCCTTCCAGCCCGTCCCCCATTCCCCAGCTCCTCTTCACCCCCCCCTTACCCCTCTCCACCCTACTTCCCCGCCCCTCTTTGCCCCCGACTCCAGGAGGCGGCGGGGGGCTCCCAGTCCGAGAGAGGCGAAGCGAAGGGGCGAGGCAGGCGGGTCCCGCAGCCACCGGCGCACTCGGGCCCCGCCCCGGGACCTCGCACCCGCCCTCCGCTGAGCTCCGCGCCTGCAGCCCCGGGGCGCACGGCTCCCTCCCGAGAGTCCCGCCGCCTGACTGTCGCAACTGCCACCCCACGTTCCCCCCCCCCCGGCCCCCGCCCCCGTCCGGGCCCCGCTCCCCTCCCACCCCCGCCCCCGGCTCTGATTTCTTCTCCCGAGCGAGCTCGGCGGGAGANCAATGGGCCCCGCCGCTGCCGCCGGAGCCACCGCCTCCCTCCCGAGAGTCCCGCCGCCTGACTGTCGCAACTGCCACCCCACGTCCCCCCCCCCCCGGCCCCCGCCCCCGTCCGGGCCCCGCTCCCCTCCCACCCCCGCCCCCGGCTCTGATTTCTTCTCCCGAGCGAGCTCGGCGGGAGACACAGGCGCTGGCTGCCCCGTCCGCTCTCCGCCTCCGCCGCGCCCTCCTCGCCCGCAATGGGCCCCCCCGCTGCCGCCGGAGCCACCGCCTCCCGGCCGCCGCCGCCGCCGGAGCCGCGCTCGCCCTGAAGCCCGCGCCGCCGCGCGCACCGGCCGGCCCCGCAGCCTCGCCCCCCCGACAGCACCGGCTGTCGCTCACGATGCTGCCGCCCGCGCCCTCCCTCCTCGGGCTGCTGCTGCTGCTGCTCCTGTGTCCCGCGCACGTCGGCGGACTGTGGTGGTGAGTGCTGTGTCGAGCTGGCTGTCCCGGCGTGGCTCCTGAAGCTCAAGGATGGGGACCTCGGGACTGACTGGGGGGCTCCGAAACGCGGTCCCGCCGCCTCCAGCCTGTACCTGCGAGCGAGCGGGAGCCCAGCCCTGGGGCAGCTGGGGAGGCGCCGGGGAGGTGCGTGCCGCTCTCCTCCCGGACTCCTCCTGGGCCACTTCTAAACTGCCGCTCAGATGTTCCTAACCCTACGCCCCGCACATTCTATTGTATTTCCTCCCACCTTGCGCGACACACCCTCCCCGTTCTCCCTCTACCCTTTCTGGTTTTGCGCTCAATCCAGGTCCTCAAGGAACTGGCTCGCGGGTAGGAAAGAGCTACCGGGTAGACGGGGAAGATGTGCAGTGAGAGGTCCAAAGAAAAGAGTGTGTGAGGTGGGCCCTGGATTTAGGGGAGGAGGATTGGATTTGCGGGCAAGAGAGGAACCAGGTGGTAAGCCACAAGGCAGGGAGGGTCAAACAACTGTCCCTTCCCCGCCTTATTTTGCTCAACAACCCACCAGCTTCTTCTCCCTGAGTGCTACTTCAAATCGGGTGGCAGTGGCGGGGAGAAAACGTAAAGGGAAACTGAGTCAGGACCGCGGTTTTCTCTACATCCTTCTCCCGGAGCGAAGAAGAGGAAGAAAGGGACAGGAAAGGGACCCAGGCTCTGACCCTTCCAGATGTGGGGGTCAGAAATGAAAAAAAAAAATGCAGCTCCGGAGGTACTGAGAATCATGAAGGGTCCTGGTGTTAGAGAGGGAGGCCTGGCCAACCAGGGGATGGGGACGTCTTCCCAGACCTGGCCTCCAGACCCGGGCCTGGGTAGAGCAGACACCTACGCAGCTAAGGTCGCGGGAACTTAGAGCCTTGGGGATGGACAGCAACTGGGAAGGTGGGTGCCGGGTCGGGACCTCTCAGAGATTCGGATCCCGAAGACTTTCTTTTCCTTCCTTGTCTCTCCCGAGCTGCAAAGACCCGCCTGGAATAGCTCAGAGTTTAAAGAGGAGGGACTTGGACAATACCGCTGACGCATCAGCCAATCCTTAGAAAGCAGGGTCCTGTCTATTTGCATAGTGCCATGTCATTGGCTGGATTTCCTATCCTCCACTCCTCTTCCACCCCCCGATTTGGAAGGAGGGGTGAGGCAGGCAGATCCCTCTCCTCTAGGGAGTAAGAGCTGGATGCCCACACAGGGAGCTGCTGGCTGCGATCCCTCTTTCCTGATGCGCGAGAGATGTCCCTTGGGGGTGTCAGTGAGGGAGCAAATCGAGGGTGACCCAGGTCCTGGCCAAGGGAACATGCGTCCTTCAATCCTGGCTTGGTATAATGCTGTGTCAGTTTTGAAATAGACAGACCTGAGATCCAATCTCAGAGGAAAAATTTGTTAAGTCTGCGACCTTGGGCAAGTCACTTCTCCCTGCGCCTCAACGTCTCAACTTTCAAACTGGGAAACAGTCCCCCTACCTGGTAAACTAGATAGGAGGATTAGGTGGGAGGACCTACAAAGTGATCTGACATTGGGAGGTGCTCCGTAAGTGTAAGTCTCCTCCTCCACGCTGCAGGTTTTCCTGGCTAGAGTTTGTAGGGATGAAAAGAATTAATTTAAATTTAAAATCCAGAGTCCCAAGCAAAACTTTGTAAAAGGATCTCTGTCCTGTTTCCCAGACACACTTTTCTAATTTTGCCCTTTCTCAAGGTATGGGGTCAGAGGTCTCTCCCTGATGGTAGTTGCCCTCCTCCTCTCCTTCACCATTTGTCTAAATCATTCTCATCCTTCCGGTTAGAATATCACATCTTCCATGACACTGTCTCTTTGTTTTTCTTCCCATCCTTCTGTGTGTTCTTACTGCACCCCATGCATTGGACAACCATGCCAGTTAGTGCATTTTACTGGCAACCATCCCCTTTGTGGTCTCTCTTCCCTGCCCCTGGAAGGCAGAGCCTTTGTCTTTGGGCCCTGGAGGCTAAAGGTGCTGGGGTAGTTTTGTGGAATGTTGCTGAATTGGTTGATTCACCTTCCTGGGGGCTTGATTCTGTGGGGGTTCTTTTGTTCAAGAGGAGCTGGTGGGTGGGTGACAAGCCAGAGGGAGAGAGGTCTGGTCCCTTGGAGACTGACCCTGAAGCTGGAAAGCAAGGAGTGGGGGAGGAGGTGAGGAGGGCAGGTGTCGGAGAACACAGGGGCCTTCATGGCTGCAGCTGCGGTGAGCTGGGTGAAGAGTGAAAGGCTGGGGTGATAAGGTGTCCAGCAACTGCCTCACTCAGATGCTTCCCGCAGAGAACCTGCCTCTCCCACCTGCACTGGCCCCTCACTCTCCTCTGTCTGCTTCTGACACTTCATTCCTTTGGTCTGAGCCCAGATTCCTTTCTCAGGATCTTTGACTCTACTTGCTTGTCCCCACCCCACCATTGCTGTCTGAGATCAGGCTTGGGCTGGTTGGCTGGACCCAGCATCCATGCTGGCCTAAGGTCCCTTTCACTCCTTGCCCACCCCTCACCCCCACACTGCCCCCCTCTACCTCAGCTTTACTTTGGCTAGTAACTTTATCAGGCCAGGGGCTTCCAGGCTGTTCCTTGACCTGCTTGCTGGCCCTCTTTTCCCTGCTTCCAGGCTGGAGCTCTAGCAGTAAGCAGGGAAGCAGCAGCCCTGCTCACCAGCCTGACATGCTAGTAGCCTCCAGGGTGGGAACAGAGACAACTCTAGGAACCTGAGTGACTGGATTGTCCTGATAAGGAAAGGAGGGTCCTGTAGGGGAGTGACCCAGGGCCTGGAATAGGCTCAGGTACCTGGCCCCAGGTTCCAGAAAAGTCTCCCTTCCACTTCCTCTCCCCCTCCTCCTCATCCCCCCTCCATGCAGTGCATGCTTTCTAAACTCTGCCTCCGGCCTCTCTGTCTGTCTCTCTCCCATCTGTAACCATATCTTTGTAAATCACAGAATCCCAGATTCCAGGACATTGGCCAGGCTCTCTTGAGGTCATCGTGTCCAGCCCACTGCCTGCAGGCCATCCAGCATGAGCCCTGGCCCTGACAGATCCCATTTTGAGAGTGAGGCAGAGAGAGAAAGTCTGTGGCTTCCTGGTCACCAGCGCCCACCCCTTCCAGCCTGCTCTCTGAGCCCCTCCCACTCTCCCCCAGGAAGTTCTCCCCAATGTCTGACCCATCTTTATTTATGCCTTCAATCAGTGCATGTGGAAAATAGCTCACTCTCACAGAATAGATCAAATCAATCTCCCTTCTCTCTTCCTCTTTCCTCTTTCTGTTTTATATTTTCTATGAAAGAAACCAACCCTCCCCCTTGTTCCACTAGCAAAAACACTACCCAGTCTCACTCCCTTCCCCCATCTCATCTTGCCTCTCTCCCCCCATCCCCCTCCCTCTACTTCACCCACTATGGAAAGGAAACAGGAACCAGAGGCCTAGGACAACCTTATCTGTGGCCCCACAGGGAGTCAGGGAAAGGACCCAGGCATCTTCATGACACCCAGGTTTTCCAGCTGGGACCCCTCTCCACCCCAGGCTGGGCTTGGCCATCCTCCTCCATTCTGTCTTTATCTGGCCCTTTGTGGGCAGTCCTGTTGCTGATCCCCACCCCCCAAGCTCCCGGCGGGGTGGGGAACTGGGGTGGGGTGGCCACCCAGTACCCCCCTCCAGGCCTCCCGCCTTGGCAGCTTCCCCTGGAGGCAGACAATGGGGCTGTGAGCAGAAAAGGGCAGGGGCAAAAGCAGGCTGGCTCGATCCGGGCCAGAGCATGTCCTGAGCCCACCAGAGCCCTGGCACTGTGACATTTCCTGGAGGGGGGGCAGCCCCCTCCTGCCCTGTTCTCATCGGAAGCCAGGAGTTGGTGGGGGGAGGTCAGTGGGAGGTTTGATCACCAGGGCCCAGCGAGGGGGATTCCAGAATGTGTACTTTGATGGAGAAATGCAGCTGTGGAGGGGATGAGGCGAGGGTGGGGTGGGGAAGCCAGGCTGCCGTCAGACTGGCAGCAGGGCGCCCAGCCAGCCCAGCCGGAGCCCCAGGCGCTAGGGGACACAGAAGCCTGTCCCTGGGGACTGGGCAGAGCGCCCTCTAGCCTACACCCTCCTTCCTGCCTGAGGCAGAGTGGGATGAGACCTTGGGTGCTTCCCCTGATCCACCAGAGGAGGAGCCGAGGGAGGGAAAAGGTCGCTGGGAGGGATCTTCGATTTTCCACCTGGCCTCCAAAGCTGGCTCCTCCAGCTCCAAGCCCTCCATTTAAACCAGAAATTAGATCTAGAAGGGACTTGGGAGATCATCTAGGCCAACGTTTTCACTTATGGCTAGAAGTCCAGCAAAGTCCAGGAACAGGAGGGGACTTGCCTTAGGCCATTCAGAATGCAGGCAGTGAGGGGTGGGAGGGGGGTCAGGAAAGGGGTACAGGGTCTTCCACGGGTCTCTTCTGCTCCCCATCCCCACCTTCCCATGGGGGCTCCGCACCTCACTAGGGGAGAGCAGAAGGCACATGACAGATTCTTCTCAGAGAATCCAGTGGAGGGTCAATGTGTCCACTCTTTTGTGCCCTGACCAATAGGAACTTCACCTCTTGACTGGTGAGGTTCATCAGGGAAGGGAAGGCCCCTGCCTCTCCCAAGAGCCATGAGAAGGAGAGCAGCATGAGGAGGTGGGAAGGGTAGTGTCCAGGACCGGGCACAGGGAACCAAATTGGGCCAGTGTGGGAGAGGGGTGGAATGGGGTACCTGGTGGGCGGTGGGGAGGCAGGGGTTAATGGAGCTGGGGCATCACTGGCTTTGATGTGGTGGTTGGGGTGGGGGTAGTGGCTGGGGGATGGGGAGCAGTAATTACCGAGTTAGACAGAGCAGGACAGGACAGGCGGGCGGGCACAGGCCCGGGCCCAGCCGCCTCAGCAGCCGTCAGGCAACATTTTTCTGCCCCTTCTCCACCACCCACCTCCCCACCCCCATACAGCCCCCACCCACAGCCCCAGGGTTCAGGGCTCCCTCTGCTGGCTCCTAGGAGGTGGGGGTCAGACTAAGGACCCTGGGGGTGAGTGTGAGGAAATAAGAGGGGGGCGGGCCATGAGGCCTTTCAGAGGAGGCTGGGCACCAAAAAGGCCTGGGATCTCCTTGGCCTCAATAATCCACTTGGGAGTGCTCTCTGGGGAAGGGGAGGGGTCCTGGAGGGTGCTCCTGGTCCACGGGCAGGGCCGGTAAGGGAGGAAGACACACAGGGGTCCCAGCTGAGAAGTCAGGGCTGAGAGTTGGAGAAAAGGGTATTCTCATGAATCCACAAGAAGCGGCCTGGGCTCCTACCATTTGCCCTGCTCTGGGCAGGCCCAAGACGTGAACATGGGTGTGAATGGGAAGACGAAACCCATTTGCTGGAGCTCACTGTCAGGACAGGCTCTTTTCATGTGTAGCAGGGAAGTTGTCAGGTATCAAGATTCGACAGTTGTGGAGACTGAGGTTGTGAAGGTGAGGTCTCATTCAATCAACAAATATTAAGTGCCCACTTCCCATGCAAGGGACTGGCTGACATCTTAGGAGAAGCAAATGGTAGAGCCCAGATCCAAACCCAAGTCACAGATTCCCAAAACTCTGCACGTGTGCTATTAATGATGTCATGCTTCCTCGTAAGATCTTTGTCTTTAGTGTGTCTTCGATCTAAGTGGAGAGAAGACAAGATAACGTGACAAATTAGTTATGCCGCTGGCAGGATCACGAGCACCCCCAAATGAGTGACACCTGAAGTGATGGGGAGAGGGGTGGTCAGTGAGGACTGGGGCTCAGGGCAATAGGGATCTAAGGTGAGCTTGGGAAGATGCTGGGTATGATTTTGATGACTTAGGGATGGGCAGCGGGTAGCTCTGAGTCCAGAAAGTTAGACATATAATCTGGGATGGATGTGACCATCACTGGGTGAGTCAACACTGCTAGGCATAAGGGCTGTGTAGAGGATGGTGTGTGAGGCCAACTTAGGTCTCCCCAAACCCCATGTGGTCATTCCCTCCAGTCCCTTTGGTTTTAAAGATATTCACCTAGCAGCGCCTGGGTGGCTCAGCTGGTTAAGCATCTGACTCTTGATTTCAGCTCAGGTCATGATCTCAGGGTTCAGTTCATGAGTTCGAGCCCTGTGTGGGGCCCTGAGCTGACAGCCCTCCCCTGCACACGCACATACTCCTTCTCTTTCTCATCATAAGTAAATAAACTTAAAAAATAACATTCATCTAAATTTCTTGCATTAAGGATTTTTCCACTGAGTGGCCAGGGTCAGTCACCTCCTTCCTCAGATGTTCGTCTGTGTGATGGGGGTGAAGTGGGTAGAGTAGGACTAGGTGGCTTCTGGCATTCCCTTTGGCCCTCTGAATCTGGAGATGGATAGGTAGGTTAGACCAGAGCCTGGGTCCCTCAGGGCTTAGATCTACAGATGTTGCCAGTAGGAGCTGGTTGTCCCTTATGCCACCTCACTTGGCTATTGATTCTACCGATCAAGGTCCCTGGGAGGCAGATCTTGGCACCTGCCAAAGCCAGTTAGAATGGCCAACGTTAGGCTTGTCCCTTCTTGTCTGCAGGATTTCTTTTAGGACTAGCCTCATTTTTTCTATGCCCAGGAATGACTATTTGATTAGGATCTCAGATCCTACGTATTATATATTGTATAACTCCTACACCACTGAGCTTAGCCCCCAAAACATGCAAATGCCCCCAAAAGGGCACATCTTCTCTGGGCTGACCCCACGCCAAGGAAGGCTGACTCAGAGGCCAAAGAAGCAGAGCTGATTCCCTAAGGAAGCAGAAGGGAAGAAATGAGGGTAAGGAAAGAGCGGAGATGGGGGAGTTATTTCTTGACGTGGAGTCAAGTGTTAACATTAGAGGGAATAAGGGAGCTTCTCATGTAACTCTTCATGTTTCTGGAGCCCAGAGGGAGAACTGACTTGCCCACAGTGGCTCAGCTCACCCTAAGTTGACAGAGACCAGGGTGCAGAAGTGACACTTGATATTTTGCCCAATGCATCCCCCCTCACCCCGCTACTCCTCTTATGGACTTTCCTTTCCTGTGACTTGGGGATGGGAGCGAGGACAGGAGGGCAGGGAGCGAGCTGGTCCCTTGGGATTCTAGCTGCTACTACTGCCCATCCCTCCCCCTGACCAGCTTGTAAACAAGCCTCGTTCCCAGGCAGCAAGCCAGGCTGGGGAGCCAGACCCGGACCAGCGACCAGCAACTGACTCTGGGGCAGCCCCTCAACCCTGCAAAGGGCTGGCCCCACCTCCTGGAGGGCCCTACCCCTCCTGCTCCTCCCTATTTCTCTCCTATCTCTAGCCCCTGGCAAGCAGACAAGGTCAGGAGGTTTTTGCCTTTCTCCCTGCATACCCCCACCCTCTCCTGCTTCCCTAGGGCCGGAAGAGGGAGAGGAGAGGGATGGGGTCAGAGTAACCTTGAGAGTAAGACCAGTCAACCTTGGGAGAGTAGGGAGTTAGCAGAGGGCAGGGCTGGGGAAGAGAGACTGGGGAGCTTAGTGGCATGGGGGTGGGGGGGTTTGGGGAAGACAAGTTTGCAGAGCCCCAGACTCCCAGTTGGAGGCCTGGACAGTCAGGTGACAGGAAAGGAGCTGGATAGCCATGGAGAGGCCTGCTTCCCTGCCTCTGCATGGGTGTTGGGGGCGGGGGGGGGGGAAGGAGTGGAGAGATAGGAAGCTAGTTAGCAGTCATGGAATCACACGAGGACAGGGGTGTGGGCTCAAATGAGGACATTCTCTTTAGATGGTTCATTCATTCATTCAAAAACATGTGTTAAATGGTGTTCATTGTGTAGTATTATAGTAATCATTTATTTGTAATATGCAACTTTTCATAATAAAAATTGGGGGAAATACGAATGAAGCGCCTAAAACTCTGCCACGGGAAACAAAAGAAAATGTCAGTTCTAACTCCCAAAGTGCTTATAGTCTTATCTACTGGCCCTATATAACCATGCTGGAAGTCATTTTGTAATGAGGTGGATAAATGGATATGTGTGGGTGTGGGTGGGAGGGATAGATGATACTTGAAGAGAGAGAGAGAGGGAGAGAGACTGATCAACTCTTGGAGGTGACTGGGCCACTGGGAACCAGCTTGGGCTGCCCTACCCATGGCCAATTCCCCACTGCTCCAACCACCACTTTTCTAGGATTGGGAAAGGGCTGGGGCTGGACCTTCCCAGGCTGCGGTTGGAATGCAGTGATGGTCAAGTCCTAAGCATGGAGGAAGCAAGGTCTGGACTGTAACTCTTCCCTAAGAAAAGAATCTTGGCTCCAGGACTACTTGGGTGGGGAGGCTGACAATGATCTGATGAGGTGGGGTGTGTGTTGGGGGAGGGGGGAGGGAGAGTAGGAGACCTTAGAAAGAACTGAGCTTACACATCTTGCAACGGCCTCTTTAAGCATCTCACTCCCCAGAGTTGAGAAGTTCTAACTTAAGACCTAAATTCCTCTTGCTGCTGTTCAAGCCCATTACATCTCATTGCTCTGGGGCCAGAACATGCCTGGACAGCCTGTACTTGTGGAGCAAATGGGGACGGGGGGTGGATAGGCATGAAGGCTAAAATGAAAAGTAGGCCACCTTGACCTTTGGCACCTGCCTACCATTTTTCTCTACATTTTCTATCTCCTGGCGCTACTTCTCCCCACCTGGAGTCTTTTTTCTGCCCTCTGCGGAAGGGTTTTTGTGTGATCTCAAATTACTCTCAGGTCCAAGTGCTCCGCCCACTCATTCCTGCAGCATAGGGACCCCAGCTAAGTGCTCATCAAACAAGAGCAATTTGATTAAAGCAGTTCCGCTCAGCTGTGAATAACCTTAACCTTTAGGGATCTGGTCCATGGAAACCAGGAAACAGCTCTATCCTTAGGCGGAAGGAAAGCTGGGGATGGAAGGATTTCTGGAAGTGTGTGGAACTTCCCATTAGGTCTTTACCCACCAAACCAAACAGCCTTCCCCTTTCCCAAGCCAGCTAGGTTACAACCAGTGACATCAGAGTGATGTCAGGGCCTGGCCTGCCTTCCCGGTCATCCTGCTCTGAAAAAGTCAGATGCTGGAGCAGAAGGGTAGTGTCACTTACTTCACAACAATGCTTCAGGGCCTCAGTCCCCAGCTACTTCGTCCTGCTCTCCAGTTCAGAAAAACAGGATATCCTGGTGCAAGGGCCCACCTTAAAGATCAAAGCCCAATGTTCCCATTTTACGGAAGGAGAAACTGAGCTAGAGAGGGGGTGTGACTTCTGTCAGAGAGCTTTCCTTCCGTAGCCATTCTAAAATCCTATGGCTTCCTACATCCCTGAGATCGCCCCTGCCTTTCTAGCATCAGGGCTGTCAGCTGATGTACACAGCTGGTTGTCCACTAAGACCAGACTTTTCTTTGATCCTGCCCACTTTTCTTTGTATCTCATGATTCCTGCCTTTTTTTTTTTTCTTTGACAGTCTTCATGATCTTCCTCCTGTTAATTTCTTCATCACCCTTTTGGGCCAAGCCTGTTCTTTATCTCCCTTTTGGCTCGTCTGGTGCCAGGTGCCCTCACCTTGAGCCAAATTCCTGTAAGGATTTATTAAAGAAGATGTGCACAGAAGGATAAGACTGATCTTGCTCTATAGCAATGTCAGTCTAAACTCTACCAAAGAGGGGGACATGGGACAGTAAGAGAACCAGATGGGACAATTTCAAACTAATTTGGGGGGGGGAGAGAAGAGGCACATCCCAGCTCCCAGCTGTGGGCTGAGCAGGCCTGGGCTCCCTCCCCAGTGCTCCCCTAACCCTAACCCCCAGTCTTTTGAGTCATACCCTGGATCCGCTGTCCTTTGCTTTCCAGGGCGGTGGGCAGCCCCCTGGTCATGGATCCTACCAGCATCTGCAGGAAAGCACGGCGGCTGGCAGGGCGGCAAGCTGAGCTGTGCCAAGCCGAGCCAGAGGTGGTGGCGGAGCTAGCCCGGGGCGCCCGGCTTGGGGTGCGAGAGTGCCAGTTCCAGTTCCGATTCCGCCGCTGGAATTGCTCCAGCCACAGCAAGGCCTTTGGGCGCATCCTGCAGCAGGGTCAGTGTGGGGAGGAGACCGGGGCAGGAGGCATCAGAGGAGAGGGTGGGGAGTTGGGGAGGCTGCAGGAGCCCCACCTCTCCCGCGGGTGTGTGGGCACCGTATCCTGACCCCGTCTCCCAGCCCTGCTGCCCCCCCACCACCGCGCAGCGCCCCGCTCCCACCCCTGGGACCCAGCCTGGGTCCTGTCGGCTGACTTCCCCCACCCTGCGCCCGCAGACATCCGGGAGACGGCCTTCGTGTTCGCTATAACGGCCGCGGGCGCCAGCCACGCAGTCACGCAGGCCTGCTCCATGGGCGAGCTGCTGCAGTGTGGCTGCCAGGCGCCCCGAGGGAGGGCCCCGCCGCGTCCCCCCGGCCTGCCCGGCACCCCCGGGCCCCCCGGCTCCGCTGGCTCCCCCGACGGCAGCGCCGCCTGGGAGTGGGGGGGCTGCGGCGACGACGTGGACTTCGGGGACGAGAAGTCAAGGCTCTTTATGGATGCGCGGCACAAGCGGGGACGCGGAGACATCCGTGCGTTGGTGCAACTTCACAACAATGAGGCCGGCCGGCTGGTGAGTATGGGCATGGGCGTGTCAGAGAGTGTGTGAGTGTGGGTAGGTGTGAGCAGACGTGGGTGAGGGTGGGGTGTGCGGGAGCCAGTCTGTAGAAGTGTGAGGGGATGCGGGTGTGAGTGAGGACGAGTATGTGCAGGGCTATGTTAACGTGCGTGGGAGCCAGCTCGGCAGGAAGGGCCGCTGGGGAGATTGGCTGGGGCATGTGGATGGGCATGTGCACGTGAGGTGGCCAGCCTAGAAGGGGGAGTCCCTTGGGAGGCCTGGGAGGGCCTGGAGCCTGTGGTCTAGTGGGCAAGACGGGGAGGGGACACCAGAGAAGAGGACTCGAGGCCTTTAGGGACCTCAGGTAGGGAAGACAAACCTCTGAGAGCAGACAGGTGGAACAAAGCTCGGGAGACGGGAGACGTGGAGAACTGGCTGCCAGGGCAGGGACAGAGGAGGGTGACAAAAGCTGGAGATGAAACAAAAGATAGAAGCCGGGGGCAAAGGTATGGGGTCTGGGGGTGAAGGAGTTGAGAGAAGCGAGGGAAGCCAGGGAAAAGGGCTAGAAAGGAAGGAAGACTTGGAAGAGGTGAAAGACAAGGCTGGTGAAGGTAGGAGGGGTCCGGTAGAGGCCAGGAAAGCTGTGACTGAATCTGGGCACTCGGCAACTGGCTGCCCACCGACTCCAGACTGGGCCCTGCCTCTCCCCTTCCCTCTGCAATGAAGAGCCCCCTTCACACCGCCCCCCTCCCCAGTTCCCACGTAGGGACAAGAAACCTGTCTGGGTCAGACATTTCCAGGAGTGTGAGGAAGGAGAGAATCCTGGAAAGGGGAGGAGGGCACACAAGTCTGTATTTCAGGTTGGCCTCTGGACTCTCAGCGTCCAGGGATGGCATTGCTGAGTCATCTGACACCATAAATCTCTAGTGGGGTCGTGACTCTTAGACCCCAGCTTCGGACACAAATTGCAAATAAAGGACAGGGGCTCTGGATCCCTGTTCTGTGTAATGCATTCCCAGTGGGCCATCCGGCACCCTATGCCTTAGTTCTAGGAGGCTCTAGGGACCCTCCCCTCGCATCCTGTGTCCTCTAGGTTCAGGCCTGAGGCACCAGCCAGGGCATAAGAGGGGGCCCAGAGAGGAATGTCCAGACAGGCCCACATACCTGTCAGACGCCCAGAAGGCCAGCTCTGCTCAGCCCTGTCTGGGGCCGAGGGGCAGCAACAGGGGACCCTGTTGGCAGGAGGACTAGAGCACCCCCTCCCCGCCTCTAGGGAGAATCTCACCCAGCCGTCTATTCTGCTCTCTCTCTCTCTCTCTCTCTCTCTCTCGGCTCTCTCTCCCATTCCCCGACTGTGCGTCCTGTGATCTCTGTGCTGCATACTGCGCCCCACTCCTCCCATTCATTTCTCTTACTCCTCCTTCTTTACAATTTGCCCTTCACTCGGAGTTGTTCCTCCCTGGATTTCCTCCTCTCCACCTTGCGCTCTCCTTTTCGGTTTCGGTCTGCTCTTTTCTCTCTTCCGTCCACGTCACCCTCCCCGTCTAATTTTCCGTCGGTCCTCTGGGCCTTCCCGCACCCCGTATCCCCAATCTGTCCGCATCCGCCCCGCTCCTTCGCTCCCCGCAGGCCGTGCGGAGCCACACGCGCACCGAGTGCAAGTGCCACGGGCTGTCGGGCTCGTGCGCGCTGCGAACCTGCTGGCAGAAGTTGCCCCCGTTCCGTGAGGTGGGCGCGCGGCTGCTCGAGCGCTTCCACGGCGCCTCGCGTGTCATGGGAACCAACGACGGCAAGGCTCTGCTGCCCGCCGTCCGCACTCTGAAGCCGCCGGGCCGCGCCGACCTGCTCTACGCCGCCGACTCGCCCGACTTCTGCGCTCCCAACCGGCGCACCGGCTCGCCCGGCACGCGCGGCCGCGCCTGCAACAGCAGCGCCCTGGACCTCAGCGGCTGTGACCTGCTGTGCTGCGGCCGCGGGCACCGCCAGGAGAGCGTGCAGCTCGAGGAGAACTGCCTGTGTCGCTTCCACTGGTGCTGCGTAGTGCAGTGCCACCGCTGCCGCGTGCACAAGGAGCTCAGCCTCTGCCTCTGACGCGCCGCCGGGCCCCCCCAAGCCGCGCGCCCCTCGGCGTCGGCGGGACCTCCGGACTCCGGCAGGGGCGCTGCCTGGCTGCTCGCAGCGAAAGTCCATCTCCCAGGTCTCCGCGAACTGTGAGGCGGCGGGGCTTGAGATACACGCCCGCCCACGAAGGCGAGGGGCTGCTGGAGGCCACCCACCCCAGGGGAGCGCTCTGGAGGGCCCCTGGGGGAGGCTATGCAGTCCCTTCCGCTCTGTGGCCCCCATATGGAAAGGAAGAGCCAGTCTCTAGGCCTCTGGATGCAGGACTCCTTAGAACTGCTGGCCATGGGGTGGGTGGGTGAGTTTAGTATCAATAAAAATATTTAAACCAATAGGACTGGGCCCGCAGTTTGGGAGGGGAGCTGGCCTCCCAGGAGGCTGGTGGGGGGGGGGGAAGGGGGTGGCTACCACGGGGCCAGGCTTCCGAAGGAGTGCGTAAAGGAAGATGGTTTTGATAGAACTAGCATCTCAGGGGTTATCACCTTAGGTTTCTAACTCCCCACCTATTGAATTAGGCTCTCCTGGCAACCGTGGTGAAGAGTGCCCATTCTTCTGGTTCAGCCTTGTCAAACATCCCTGGCCTGGGTCTGCAAGCTGGGGAAGACCTGGCTGTCCCTCTTTAAACAAACAGACTGGAAAGGTCCAGGAAAAGAAGACCAAAAGCCTCTGGTAGTTCAGTCCAGCCCACATCTTCATTCTGGGGAGTGTGACACCTTTATTTACCCTTCTGTTTCTGTGACTCTTGGGGGATTCCAGGGCAGACTTTTAGGGCCACCCAAGCCCATAGGATTAAAGCACTTTATAAACTGTAGACTGTGATGAAATCATGTTATTAGTAACATCAGGCTTTTTAACCACCCAAACTAACTTCAGCCCCATTAACATTGAAAAGAGTGCCCAGGGGCCCCTGGGTGGCTTAGTCGGTTAAGCGTCCGACTTTCGCTTAGGTCATGATCTCGCGGTTCGGTTCGTGGGTTCGAGCCCCGTGTCGGGCTCTGTGCTGACTGCCAGCTCAGAGCCTGGAGCCTGTTTCAGTCTGTGACTCCCTCTCTCTCTGACCCTCCCCTGTTCACGCTGTCTCTCTCTCTCTCCTAGAAATGAATAAAACATTAAAAAAAAGAAAGAAAGAAAAAAGAAAAGAAAAGAGTGCCCAGAACAGTATTTCTAATCACACTCGGAGGGGAAGATGCAAAGTTGTCCCAAGGTTTCTCTTGGCACCCAATCACATTTCCTTCCATCAGGAAGCTGGAGTCAGGCTGCAGGGACAGGGATGAAAGGTTTGGGGTTCTGGGTTCTTCAGAGCTGAATCTCATGCCTCCATCTTCCCGCAGAGAGAATGGGGGAGGGCATAGTCAAATGGCTGGGATTCAGAGCCCCACTTTTCCCACAGTCTAAATACTGCAGGAGAGAATGACTGCCCCACCTAGGTGTGTAGGCAAAGCATGAGCTTTGGATTCAGGCACTCTGGGTTTGAAGCTGCTGTCTGCTGCTGCTGCTGCTGCTGCTGCTGCTGCTACTAAGAAGATTACAACATAGGTATGTTAGGCTCAGTTTCTTTGCCTATACAATGGGAATACCATCATGTTTCAGTAATCCATTGTTGCTTAACAAACAACCCCCAAATAATTACTTCTCATGATCCTTGAGGTTACGAATTTGTCAGAAGTCAGCTTAGTGGTTTGGCTCCTTACGGCAGGAACTGTTGGCTGTGGTCATTCACCTGGCTGCCTTCTGCAATGGCTGGGCTGGGCTGGGCAGTCTAAGAGGCTTGACTCATATGTCTAAGTAGTGCCTTGGAGCTCCTCCAGGGTCTCCTCCTCTCCATGGGGCTAGCTTGGGCTTCCTCAGAACATGGTGGCCTTGGTGTAGTTAGACTTCTTACCTAGGCTGTCCTTCAAAAGAGGCTGTGCTGAGTGTGAAGGCAGAAGCTTAAGGTCCAGCCTTGGAAGTGACACATCATTGCCGTCACTCCCTGCTGGCCAACACAAGTCATGGAACCAGCAAAAATTCAAGGGAAGGAGAAAGAGACACAATCAATGGGAGAGTGGCAGTACTATCATGACCATCCACATCCTCATAGAGCCATGGGGAGGATTCTTCTGAGACACGAAAAGCACTTAGCATAGCATTTGGCACAGTAAGCTTATATTTAATGAACGGTAGTTACTGTGAGAATAGGGAGAGAGCTGATGCCTTGCAGGTATTGGCCAGACCCTGATTGCAAATGAAGATACTCAACTCAAACTAGCTTAGGTCAAGGGAATTAGCTATGAAAAACAATTAAAAGGGAATTAATTACCTAGCAAGTCCAGGAGTAAGACTGAATTGAAGCACAACTGAGCCCAGAGGCCCAGATGATGTCATACGTCTTTCTCCTTTGTCTTCTTCTTTCACCAGCCCCCCAACATCTATGGTTTCTAGCTTAACTCTGCCTTTCTTTTCACACTGTTCTCATTACCTCCTGCTGCAGATAGACATTCTCTATATGTCAGCCCTATGCCCATATTCTTAGAGCTGGTGATCTAAAAAAGAATGTCTTTCCCAGCCAAAGTCCTAAGGAAGACCCTGATTTGGTCAGCTGGGGTCACTTGACCACCCCCAAACCAAGAACTGTCCAAGAATATGTACTACCGTGACTGAGACTGGCAGCCCCACTAAGACTACAGGTATTGGGAGCACATGGAGGAGAGGAGAGTTTTTCAAATGAAACGGAAGGAAGGGGAACTCATCCTGGATGTAACAGGCCTCAACCATGGCTTCCAGTGTATCTGTCCTCCCTCCCCACAATGCCTCTGCCTCCACCCCTTGACCCAGCCTGCGTCAGCCCTCAAGAATCACGTTGGGATCCCAGAGTGAGGCATATATGGAGAGGGGACATCAGCCTGCAGGGGGCAGGAAAGGGCATCTGAATTTTCCTTCCTGCCTCCTCCTGACTCCTTTAGGTCAAATGTCCAAGCTTCAGGGAAGTGTCATGGAGAATCTGGACTCAGAACCTCTCTACTCAATCTACTGCCAATGGATACTTTACCAAGGGCAAGAGTGGAACTGGCATCATGGGCAGCATGGAGGAGATATGAAGCTTCCGAAGTGTACGGTTTATAGTCGAGGCCCTGCCTTCCCCAGAGCTGGGTTCAATACATAAAAAACAAAAACAAAACAAAACAAAAAAAAACCCACCACCACCACCAAAGCCTCCTGCACTTCTCTCAGGGACCACAAGAGGGTGCACAGAGCCCAGCTTCCTTATTAACAGGGACCGACAAGACCTGCAAGACATCTGGGGAGCCGTGGGCAGGAGAGGGTAGGATGAAAGGAAGCAAGGACACCCACGGACAGCCTGGGTCAAGCTGCTAGGGTTCCAGACTCTCTTGGACGTCTGGGCTGACCCAGACGGAGGGGCGGACGCCTGCCTCCCTGTCTCTATTGCCAGGTCTTGGTAGGTGGTGTGGAGTGGGTGATGCTGGCCTCCTCCACGAGCCAGAGAAGGAAACTGAAGCAGTGGCAGAAACTGACGCCACCCCAAGAAGGTTAAAAGGCATTCAGAGGAAACAACATAAGAGTGAAAAAAGGCCTAGTTTGCCAGCTTGACCTTGATCAATTCAGCTCATCTCTCCGAGCCTCAGTTCTCCCATCATGAAATGGGGGTGCCCAATAGCTTTTTAGTACATTGTCAGAGGGCATTGCAATCTTCAGATTGATAGTCTCGTGTTAGGGGTCCATTTTCTGTGACCAAGCTCAGCAGGAGTCTGGGAACCGCCTTCTGTGAAGGGTGAGAGCCTTGGCCTGAGAGGCACCATTTTGATCATTATCTTGGTCATCTGTAAGCTCAGAGATGGCTCTGTGCTGTTGCACTGCTGCCTGGGAAGAAGGCTGGAGGCAGAGCTCAGGAATGCTCTCCCCCCTCGAGAACCCCCTTGTTCACCCAGCTGCCCAGCCCCAGGCACAGTCTGAGCCATGAAGGTTCCCTGCTGGCTGATTGGTGGGGGACATGTGGTACCAGGGAGATGGGGGAAGAGCACAGAGGCGCCCCAGATGTGTGCATGACCACATCAGGGACAGCCAGAATGCAGGCAGATGGGTGGGGAAGCTGCTGGAAGGCCCAGGATCAGCCTAAGGCCAAGGGCTCATTTCCCCTTCCTTCTAATGACCAAACATACTAGGAGCTGAGGCCTGAAAGATGGGCTGAAGAGCTCCCTTCTTGGTCTAGGGCTCCTTCCCCCTCCTCTTCACCAGGATAGACTTCTCTTGCAGAATATGGGGACTGAGCCTGGCTTGGTCTGGGTTGGGGCTGCGAGGGTCCCACCTGTTCTCACCCTGCCTCCTCTAGCCCTCCCTTCCCTCAACCTCCTCCAGAGTTGCCACAGCTGGAACTATTCTCTGAGCTGCCTTTCATCCCTGGTGCTCCCCCTATTCCCCCCCCCCTCGTGGCCCCTGTAATTGTGGTCTCAGCTGGCGGCTGCGGGGGCTGGGGCTGGGCTGAGGGCCAGAGCCAAGGGCAGGGCCAGGGTGGGGTCTGGGGGCTGCTGATAGGGCCTTGCCCATGGCAGGGGTCCGTTGGGACCGGGGCTCCAGTCACAGACATCATCTCCACATATGCCAAGGGCCCCTGTGCTTACGTCTGCCCTCTCTCTGCACTGAGAAGTGCCCCAGGCTTGGGCACTTTTAGACCCTCCTGACATCAGGCCAGAACTACGCCCCAGTGCAAACAAGGCTTGAGAATCATTATTTGCCTCCTGGGGTTTTCAAAGAAAGGACCTTCTCCCTCTCCTTTACACCTCTGTATTTCAGGAGCACTTAGAGGGTAGGGGAGCAAAGAGACCTTCCCTCGGCAGTGGCAGGTCAAAGGGGGAAAAACATCAGCCTCTCAAGCAGGTCAGCAGAATTTCCCAAATGTGGTCCTCATGAAAATCACTTGGGATACCGGCTAGAAATGCAGACCCCTCAGCCTTGCCCCTGGACGGGCTGATTCAGCTACATGGGACCGGAAATCAGCATTCCCCACGATGGCCTACCCCGGGGCCACGTGACGAGGCATCAAGCCTGGAAAGGCTAGTGTGAGCTGTATCTGGGGAGTAAGGAGGTCTGAAAGCTGGGTTAGGAACCCGTTCCCTGTCCCAGGTTGGGGCTCTTCCTAACCCTTTCTGGGTCTCAGTTTCCTCAAAATCCTGGCTCGTCCCTGTGGTACCCTCTCCTACCTCAGGCTCATGCCTGCCTTCCTGTGCTGAGTCTGCTCTTGCCCTGGCCTTCCCCATACCCTCCCCAAACTCTAGTCCCAAGCTGTCCCTGTCCCCGCAGCATGGTGAAGGAGAGTGGGGAGGGCAGGGGGCAGCTGGG